GCTGGTGGTACACATGGCACGGAACGTGTTGCTCTCACTGACAATAAGAATATCCTCGATCCGCTGAAAAAAATCCGGTGAAGGTGGATTATGGATTCTGTTAATCCGCGGCCATTCCAATTTCCTTCGATGCACACATGCGCCTCAATGAGACGAATTTAGCCGCGTCGCGACCTAATCCGCCTCCCCTTCTTCTTTAATATTTAAACCAAATGCGCGCGTTTACGAGCCGCGCGACGAATACGAATTTACGCGCGCCGATTGACGAAGAATTCGGGCCAACGTAATAAAAAGAGAAAAAAAAAAAAAAGTTTTATTACGGGCGCATCCTGTGTACTCGATGCACAAGCTGCCACGCTAGTAAACGAAAACAAAAGAAATGGAAAGGTGCGGTGGGGGGGGGAGGGAGGGGAAGCATAAGAAGAAAAGGAAAAAGAGAAAAAACGATGAGAGGGAAGCGGGGGGGGGGGAGGAAGGGAATGGCAGTACCGACTGCTTGGACCAATAAGGAGAAGAGGAGAAGAGGAAAGGAGAACGAAATGCCTCGTGGAAACGACGTCTGAGCGGAGTGTAGGGGGAGAGAATAATAAGAATAAGAAAAACGGTGTACGTCTGATAAGCTCGTGGCGGCGGCGGCGGCCAGTGGAGAACCGGTGGAGCCACCACTTTCACCGAATGAAAGTAAAACTCGATTCGGCGTGTGCACGACCCGCTCGAACAACAAAACGTGAACTTTTTCTGGCGAGCGCGGCGCGTGCCCGTGGAATGTCATTAACCGACCTCCGCCTCCGCTTCGTTTCATCCTCCGACTAGTCAGATCAGCTCCGCGATGGAGCCGTGGTGCAATAAAGTGCCGTGTATCTAGACCGGAGCAGCCTAATAAAGTTTTACAGGTCGCTAGACCTACGTAGGGTCGTCAACGTCCCGACGAATTGATGTTCGCCCCGGTGTCTCATTGCTTATGCAGATTGTTCATGTAATTGATGGATGTAATGTTTACTAATGACTGGAAGAAAACGTGGGCAGAGATTGGGCTATCAACCTGTTGGGTGCATTTCTATTTGAATATTGAACAAGGTCTTTGGACGTATGTTGAAACGAGTTCAATTTCAACTGACCGACTAGAACGTTATAACAGCTAAACGTTGATGTGTTTGAAAAATTACGTATTTCGGGTTAGATAGAAAGTAATTGCTTTTTTTTCAGATAGATCTATATACGTATCTTGAAATACAATTCATTGTGCAACTTAATAGCCGGCTTGTTTTAGAAAAAGGAAATGCACGATTTCGTTCAAAATCGAGAATCAACAAGGGATATCTTTCGTTGTATTTTGAAAAGGAAAAGAACGCTGCACAAGCTCATACAAAATTGTCTGACGGTAAAAAAAAAACCTTGAAATTACATTATTAGTGTGTTAGAATCCGTTTGCTAAATTTCATTGTTGACTGACAAGTCGTTCGTGCAATTTGTCTTTTGTCGAAAAAGATGAAAACTTCGACTGAAAGAATGGCCAAAGGTAATCGAACAAACTGCACAGTGTATCGTCCAACAACAAAGTTTTTCTTCCTCGTGCGCAAAAAAGAACGCAGCTACTTTTTGATCAACCTAACATCCTCGTCGTAGAACAAATACTTTCAGAGATATATATCTAAATTTCCACGATCGTATGTATAAACTAACCACGAGAATAAAAATTCAATTCATCGTGCGTTTGCTCTCGGGTCGGACAGTCTTCCGAACAAGCGACTGTACTTTTTTTCCCCCAGAAAAGAAAGAAATGTAACAATCAGCGGATGCATGGCTACTTTCAGTGCGCGGAATATCGTTGCGCGAGGGCGCGGAAAATTTACGAGGATTCCTTGCATGGAATCGCCTAATCGCGGAAGTTGCTCGTTTCGCGTGAGCCGATCGCCATTTGAATGCCCAAGCTTCGCGAAGACTTTTTTTTTTTTTAATACGAGACACGATAATGGCTACGGGGCGTTAGTCACCGAGTTTGAATTTCCCTGTCCTTCTCGATCGTAGAAGTTCCTAACAGTCATAAAAGAAGAAACATGTTCTTCGCCGCTATATGTCGTTCATTGTTGTTTCTCCAGAAGTTTCCCTCATTTCTGGTTACGATATCGAGTTATCCCGCATCTGCTGATGTAATGAACCACGTATATCCTACCAGGACGAACGAATATAATATAGAAATATATGTCGAAATTCTGATGATACGATGAAACGGATTATCAGTGAGCTCTTATCATCGAAAATGGGAAATCTGCATATTGAAATTGCGACGAGACAATAGACGAGTATATTATCTAAGGAAACAGAAATGATCGAGTGAAACAAGTAAAAGTGAAATAGCTGCGAGATATTTGCAAATATTATTCATTATACAATCTTTTAACTTTGCGTATTTTCTCGCTTTCTACGTTTTAACGTGTCGTCCTCGGCTTCGAGATTCCGATAGAAGAATTCTCTGAAACCTTCTCCACGGACAATGGGTTCTGTTTCTTTTCCCCCCTGCAAATCTCGCGAAGGGGGGGAAACTATGCCCTCGGGTGTTGTGAATGCACCTTCAGCGTCGCGCAGCCAGGAGTTTCTTACTTCTTTCCAGCCACCATCGAATCTTTTCCAACTGTCTGGAAGCAACGATACGCGTCAAGTTGCAGGCTTGTGGCTCGCTGTTTGTCCGAGCACGTCTCACATGTCCCCGTGACGCACAGTCGCTCCAGGACCGTAAAACCTATCTTTATGGTTCACACCTCCATGGGTGCAGCATGGAGAAGTCCAACCCTCCTGCTGACGTTTCACTGATCCAGTTTTAGATTTCTTTGGGCAAACCCGGCATCGTCCAAAATCGATACAAACGCGTCTGATTTCCGCAAGAAATTTTTGGACACATAATCTGATTATATATTTGTCACTTTTATTTCACTTAACGTTTTGAGCATTTTCTTCTTTTTTTTTTTTTATTGTTATTTTGCGTCATTGAGTATATTTTAAGTATAAGCAAGACAGAGTAGTTAAAATTTCGATCGAATGCTTTTGCAAAGAGGAGATCGTTTATTGTTTTACGTTGTGTTTGTGCTTTAGCTATCGCCGTTGCGAAGAGGCGTTTCTGCTAGACTAGAAGCAAACTAGTTTATTCGGCTGTTTTGCATTCACGCCGACTAAGAGGCATTTGTCGCCACCGTGATTCGGTAAACGAACAGACGTTTCTCACGTGGAAACATTAGTCACGTACGCAATAACGTTCCCGCGAATTCCCGGATTCAGTTTCAACTGAAAATACTCGTTACGAATTTAAATCAATTTAACTTCGTTTCCAATTTTCCTCCTTCTCTTCCTCGAGAAACGCATACAGAATGTAGGAAATATAATTAATTTCCATCCTTCTCTTCTACGACCTAAAGTATCACCTCGTAAAGAGATCAAGAAAGACCATCTACGATTGTAAACAGCGAATAGAAAATCGCTTGCGTCGATTCTCGACGAAATCTCGCCAAAATCAAAGTGTCTCGACGATTGAAATCGACGGGAGGATAGGTTCCGCGAATTTGAATTTCGCATGGAGAGCCCAGCGTCCTGGAGAATTGCAGAATTCGGTCTGGGAACGGGGGAACGACGTAACGGCTCAAAAAGAAGATAGAAGAAAAGCATGCCGGTGGCCGGAGGATTTCATTGCTACGTGGAATTATCTTTTCTTTCTGAGCTGATAGCGGTCTCCCTCGCTTCCACAGGCAATCGCTTCTTCCTGCGATCTCCTCGTGGTGCCGACGTCGCACTGAAACAATCCGTATTTTCCTGTCGTTTTCCCCGAGACGAGACTTTCGCCAGACAACGTCGATAAGATAAAGCTTCCTATTTTAATAATTTCTCTTCAGCTTTCCGAAAGCCGACTTTTATTTTTGTCTACGCTGTCAAAGTTATCGTTCATCGTGATCTTCGCTTTCCTCTCTTGGAATTTCTTTCCTCGGGTAATTTCTGCCTGTTTGTCGTATTTCACACATTTACGCATAATTATTAATTGAAATGTTGGATATATATTATTTGCAAGACTGCATGAACGAATGAATAAATTGATACGTAAATAGACAGAGGTTGATGACATTTTTCGATGTCTTCTTTTATATTATTATGCTAAATGTCCCCTTTATCCTCTAATTATATTTTTATTTCAATTTGCTAGAAATGACGAAAATTATGAAGCATCTTTTAGAAATTGAAATCGTTTTTCGGCCGTTTGAATTTTTGTTGTGTATCTGGTCATTAAAATTTTTCTCTAGAATATTAGATTCTGGAATGACCGATATTTTCTAGGGATTTCAAATATCCTAGTTGCCTTCTAGACGTAACGTATCGATGGTTGGTAAGGTAGAAGTTCTTCAGAATATCACTAACAGAACACAGACGACGCATACCTCGTCACTGAACAGAATTACATATATGGGACTCAGTGTTCTGAAATACCGACCTCTAAAAAATCAGAGTGCTTCTTATGCCCTCTGCAATGTACCGTGAGTACAAATTTTTCGCGGGAAGAATGGCAATTTCTCGCTAGAAAGTCGGTAATTCTGTATACTGAAGTCGTGAAATAAATGGACGAAAAAATTGAAATAAACGAATGAAATTAACGAATGAATTAACATAGACTTATGCTGTACGAGATGCTCGCTGTTGTAAATAATTTCGAAGAGCGCTTTGTTTCTCCAAGAATAACGTACGTAGATGTTTATGTACATGCTGTACGAGATGCTCGCTGTTGTGAATAATTTCGAAGAGCGCTTTGTTTTTCCAAGAATCAGCCGAAGCTGTCTGTCTGTACGTGCTCGAGCTCTCACCTCACCGAATTATTTGACGACGCGAACCTGTTGCGCGAGGTGTTAGTCTGTTGCTGAAAATCGAGGCGTTCAGACGTATCTCTTTTCGTAACATTTATTAACTGCGCAATACTTTCATCGTTATCCTTTTGCGCTAACTACGTTTAATTAACGTACGTTTCTTGTCGAATATTATAATTTATCGAATATTATTAAAATTATCTTCTTCTATTTGATTGTCTTTTCCGTGATAACATTTACTAGTAATTCGTACGATGAGCTTTGAACCAAAACGATATTTGCTGTTTCGTTCTCGATTTAATTAATTCGTTTAGAATTAGCACTTTTTTAAAGAATAGATTGTGATATTCTCTGTTCTGTTATAGATTTCTATACTTGTTCCCTGGGTTCGACGATTCCTATTTGACGATGGACTTCACCCTCACTTCCCCTGGACCAGAACAACATCGACGACAACGTTCTTCGCATCTAACCGTGAGTCACATGCTTTTTTGTTTCTCTGGTCGCTCAATCATGTCGGGAGGATGAAAGATCCGAATCGACACGGGCGACTGGTTGTATTACGCAGCATTTTTGATGAGCGCAGTGACCGCGGGTATTTTTTTTGTACCCGCATTTCCTCTTTTGTAGCCCATTTTTTTGTTCTGTGCATTTCCTCTGCGTTTTATTTCTTAGTCTAGGACAGAATGTTAGAATAATACAGTGATAATTAATATCGATATAATATTGACATAGTATTATGGTATAAATATTTATTAAATCAAGATTTAATTGTGAGTAATATAGTATGAATATTTGACTAATTGTAAGTTGGTGCATAGCGGAGAAGTCTGATTGTTTTATAACTCATTGGAATTATAATTGAAGTTGTTAACGACGATGCATATTTATATACATTATTTGATTTTCATATTCAATGCAATTTCAATAGAACTTGAAACATGATCAAAGTTCTATACCATTCCGCCAAGAATCTGTTGTCTTTTACATGCAAGAAAACACTTCGCGACAGCAATCATCTGCAATCGAAGCAACGTGCTTTCAAAAGTGAACTTTCGACGAAGGGATTGCCTGAGGATATTTTTACCAATATGTCCCTGTAAACCCATTATTATTCCTCGAATTTCCATGTTAAATTGCATTGAATCTCACTTTCTTCTTCAATGAATATATTCGTTATTAACCTCGGTAATTTGTTAAATCGTTAAACTAAACTCCAAAAATTGGGAAATTAAAATAAAATAATCAGCCAGTTAGACGCGTCAATCATCTTTCTAGCTCAGGATTTTCAGGTTCATTGTCAGGACCTTATTCACGTTCCCAGGTGATATTTGACTCTGTGTGTGTGTATGTGTGTGAAAGAGAGAGAGGCAATGAACACGGTTTAGACATAAGCTTGATAATTTCTCAACGACTGACGATTTTTCACGTTTTTGCTATTATTTCGAGCAATATATATATATATATATATATATATATATATATATATATATATAT